TGACCTGAATTTCTTTTTGTGACTACCCACTCTGTTCACGCTGCTAGAACACCTCAAAGGATTAGAAGTAGTCTTACTCAGAAGCACGATTAGGTGACTTGTCCAGGGATCACGTAGTTTGTATTGTTCCAGGATTAGGCCCATTCATATTGTATTTATGGAATGTAGGCAATACTCCAAGCAAAATGGTTCCCTGAAACTCCACTATTAGAGAGTAAAAAGTCCTAAGAATCCTGGGCTGTATCTGAAAAGGGTCTTACCTGTTAGCTGACTGATGAAAAGATAAGACAGAAATGGGCTACAGTTTGGAACCTCAGAAAGAGAAACAAGTAGAAACCACCAGGTATGACATTTTTTGGGTCCTCTGATTGTATAACCTTTTTTTCTCATCGTATTATTATTGTAAAAACATTAAAATGAGGACTCTTAGGGTTTGAGTTGTGTTTCACAAAACACATATTGAAGTCCTAGTCCTCAGTGCCTCAGAATGTGGCTCAATTTGGAAAGAGTCATGGCACATATAGTTAGGATAAGGCCAAGTGGAGTATGGTGGCCCTTCACTTAACATGACTAATATTCTTACAAGAAGATGGTCATGTCATGCCACTTTGCACCACCTGTAAAGCCCACGTCTCATATCAGAGTGCCAGTTTGAGTCCTTGTTGTTCTGTTTCCAATCCAGCTCCCTGCTAAGGTACCTAGAAAAGCAAAGGTAGATGGTCCAAGTGCTTGGGCAACTGCCAGCCATGTGGGAGGAGACCCAGATAGTTTCTGGCTCTTGGTTTCAGCCTGGGTCAGCTCCTGCTGTTGTGCCATTTGGAGAGTGAGCTGGTGGATGGAATATCTCTCTGTTTCTTCCTCTCTCTCTCTCTCTCTGTCATTGTGCTTTTAAATAAATTAATTAATTAAAACAAAAAATTATGAGCCTCCCACACTAATAACTTCACAGAAGAACTGTGGTACCCATTGTTGGGCATTAATACTCTTGACATCAAATATTTAATTAAAAATATTTTAAAAATATTTTTATAAATATTTCCAAAAATGTTTTTTATAAATATTTAAAAAAAAAAAAACACAGAAACACAGGAAGAGCACCTTACAAAGATGGATAATTAGAATGAGGCATCTATAAGAGAAAGAATGCCAAAGATTACAAGGAAACTTCCAGAAGCTAGGAAGAGACAAGAACAGACTCCTTCCAGATTTCAGAGGAAGCATGACCCTGTCAAATGCTTGATTTCAGACTTCTGTTCTCCAGATGAGTAAATGACATATCTCCATTGCTTTAAGTGACCCAGGTTGTAATACTTTATTACAGAAGATATAGGAAACTTAAGCAAGGACCTATTTGTGGGGAGCAACCCGGACTGGACTGAGTTACTGGAATTAAGACTTATTCTATGCATCTGCTCTCCCACAATATGGCGCTGGGAGAGGAGCGTACAGCTTCTACCCAGCTGCCCCTTACCAACTTGATAAGCTGCAAGAGCCGCTCCTGATTAGAGGAGTGTGTGGGTAGCAGAGTTGGGATTGGTGGAAGAGGACTATAAAGGAGGAGAGAGACAACATGCACCAGGAACATCTAAGAGGAACATCTAAGGGGAACACCTGTGCAGCCCCCGAGAGAGCCGGCCGGCGGTGTGCCACTCCCCCGCGGAAGTGGGGAATGTGGCAGGGGGAACCGCCCTTCCACGGAGGTGGAAGGGACGGTAGCCAACCCGGGAAGAACCAGCAGCAAACCCGGGGAGGGCCGAGCAGACGAAAGAACAGCACAGGGTCCTGTGTCGTTCCTCCACGAAGACGGGGAGCGACACTATTGAGGACCAAATCTCAAGCTAATGTTTGTGGATCAAGGTCAATGATATGGTCTTGGTTCCAAGACAATGCCAGATAGGACAAAAGACAAAAGAAAAAAAAAAAAAGAAACAGGTTGTTTAAACAGGTCTGTCTTGTTAGGAGAAGCACATTTCAAGACTCAGTAGACATACTCAATAATAAATGAAAGAATTTATCTGTAGAAAGCAAAGTTGTAATAGAGTGATACAGGTAAGATGTCCACTGTCTCCTTCCTTTAGCGATTCTGAGATAATAGTTGTGGAGACAGAAAAGATAGTTTGTGTTTATGACAAAAAGGAAGCTATGATCACTAAGAATCAGCACGAGGTCACCGAAAGAAGGAACTCTCATGGTTAGTTCATCATCTTTGACAGAGAAGTCAGACTGGTTGATGACAAAAAGTAGTAAAGTGCAATGAGGTTTTATTAAGACACTTGGTGAATTTCCATACTTTGTCCTTCTGGACAAGATGGAGTGGTTGAGTTGGAAATTAGTGACTATCCAGCTATACTTAGAGATTTATGACTGATAGTGTGTATGAGCTAATCTGGGTTGGGTTTCCAGTGGAATGTCCTGGAGGCTTTTACATAAGCACTGTCCTGCTCAAAATTTTTATAAGTGACCTGGAAAAAGCAAACATTATCAAAATTGTGCTTGATTGTCCAGTTGATGCTGTCTACACCTGGATATACCCTTGGAAGGCATAGAGAAATTGGATGTTTTGAAGGGAATGACCAGGTTGGTGACCCAGTAGAGAACAGTAAACATATTTTATAATAAACTGGAAGGTATTTTGGAGGATTTTCAGCCTCAACAAAGAGACCCAATAAAGATAACAACAGCCAAGAGATAGTGTGCTTTACCTCTACGAAGGTATTATGACTAAGGAGTCAGATGACAAGAAGATAATTTCAGCTTGATGTTGGGAGAACTTCTAGAATGTTGAGTTTTTCAAAGAAAAAAAAATCTTTTAATGAAATTTTAAGGATAGAAAATCTCTATGGGTTCATCTACACATTTAGTAAAAATCCTAGCAGGGTTGTTTTTAAGCAATTCAATGATTTATCCTAAATATGTGGAATAGAGGCCCATAGAAGGCAAACCACTTTTAAAAAAGAAGGATGAAGTTTACTCTTGTCCAAACAATGGTAATATATACCACAGAGGCATGATAATAAAACATTATGGACCTGGTAAGGAAACTGGTGAACAAAAGAAAGGTCTCAGCAACAGACCCACGTATTTAGGGAAACTTGGTTAAGATGGTGATAGCACTCAAATTAATAGCAAAATGTGTGGATTGTTCAATGAGTGTTGATGGGGAGTCTGATGGTTGATCTATGGGGAAATGTAGTTGGAAAATGTACATAACATACCAAGATGGATGTAGATGAAACAGAAAACTAAACGTAAAACACAAACTCTGAAGGAAATATAAAAGTATTGGTTTGTGATTTAGAGGATTGGAAGGACTTAAAACTTATAAAACATGTCATTTTTAAGCTGCATACTTCAAGTTAAAAGTTTTGAGTGATAATATACATAAAGTTCTCAATCCTACAACAGATTTGAAAAAAAAATTTGCTCTGTCAACATGTAAGAGGTTAATATCAAAGCCATACAAAGAATACAAGTCAATATTTAGGATATATAAGTAAATTTGCAGGTGAAAGGGAAGACATCTATTTGAAAAAAAAAGATCCTATCAAAATGTAACTGTGAGACCTTGATTCTTTGATTCATTAACCTAATAAATATGTGCTGAACATCTATCTAACATCAACACTGTCCTAGACTACAGGAATACAGCAGACAAAATTCTCCATCCTTATAGAATTTATATACTCCACAATATTCTCTCCCACCAGCAAGAAAAAAATTATGTTTTTAGTTAGTGAATTTCCCTTTTAAATTACAATCATGGAGCCAGCACTGTGGCATAGTGGGTAAAGCCACAGCTTGCCGTGCCAGCATCCCATATGGGCACCAGTTCGAGTCCTGGCTGCTCTCCTTCTGATCCAGCTCTCTGCTATGGCCTGGGGAAGCAATGGAAGATAGCCCAAGTTTTTGGGCTTCTGCACCCACATGGGAGACCCATAGGAAGCTCTGGCTCCTGGCTTCAGATTGGTGCAGCTCCAGCTGTTGCAGCCATCTGGGGAATGAACCAGTGGATGGAAGACCTCTCTCTTTCTCTCTTTCTTTCTCTCTCTCTGCCTCTGCCTCTCTGTAACTCTGCCTTTCAAATAAATAAATAAATCTTTAAAAAATTACAAGCATGCATTTCTTGTAGATTCATACTTTTGCAAGATGATAAGCAACTCCCCAGAGTGCTTGATAACTGACATGTGGCATGTGGTTAGCCTGTAAGACCAGTGATTGGGTGACCCAGGGTGCCCAACCCTGGATTTTGGCTTTTCCTCTACAATGTGTATGTGACCCTTGGCAACCTCTCCAAGACTTGGCTTCCTTCTCTGTAAAATGGCACCAATGCTGTGACTTACCATAAAAATGACATAAACATTAAATGAGATAATGTACCTGTAAAACAGAATTACATGTGACAAATGATAAAAATACAATGTTGGCTATTTTTATTTTAAGCCCTGATTATGATGTTATGATTCCAAAATTGTTATTTCCTTGCATATAGTATTTTAAAAATAGTAACACACTTGGTTAACTGATTTTTTTCTCTTTAAGTAAATATCAAAAAAGGAAGTTGCCTACTTTCCCCCCAAGAGTGTGCTCTAGTGGTGTATGAAGTGTGTCTTGTGGATTATCCTAGTGTCTGAAACCTTCACTCAGGATGTTAAGGATGGAGGGAAAGTGAGAGCCCATCTGGCCAGTCCCAGCCCCTATTCTACAAGAACTCAGAGCCTACAGAAAGCACATGCCCTGCCCTGAGCTTGCACAGCTGAAAATGTGGTAGTTCTTACGTGGTTGTGAAACCACATGCAATTGTCGATTGTCTAAGGAAAGATTAATGTCATCCAGCTGGCTTTTTCAAGAGGGTGTGCACTAGTAACATGAATAATGCTCACGTAATTAGAGTCAGAGAATCACGATTATCCCACGTATGAAGAATTTGCTAGACTTCAGTTGACTCTGTCATTCTTCCGTTCAGTAGGTGGAGCAAGCGATCCTCATTAGAATAAAGGTAAACAGATTCAACCCAATTATAAAGGGAAAAAAGATGTGTCCTCAGTCACTGAGGGCTGCAGAGGGTGGCAACCACTGGAGAACGGAGATGCAGCAGGAAGAAGTGGCAAGTATGAGTTCTAAGTCAAAATCCATAGGGATCATTGGAGCCCCTTTCTCCAAGGGACAGGTGAGTGAAATATCTGGCTTGGAGTACGTGCATTGATTTGAAAACTTGGGGCTTGAAAATCTCTAAGGTGTGATTCTTTGGTTAGTTACGTTTCCTGATCCACTCGGGCCCAGAAAGCATGTTTTGCTATCCTCTCCCCATTTTGCAGCACTGTGTGATTATGGGTCACAAACCCATTGACTCTGGGCTGCTGATCTCAGTCAAAGCCAATTTCATTGTTATCTACATTTTATTGAATGCCTTGGGAAAAAAAATTTTATTTGAATTAAAATGGACCATTTCTGTATTGTAGCTACTGAGGCTTTTGCTGCTCTTTTTGCTTTTGATGTTATGGTGGATGTGTAGTAGGAAAGAGAATTAAAAAAAAAAAACACCTTTATTTAGTTGTGTAATGAACATCTACAATACTTAATACAATACTTAATACTTCAGACGTCCTCTGATTTGGCTAACTTAAATATTACTGGTTTATCCAACTTTATGAGTGACTCATGGTATTTTAGGGCTTTAATGATTCTCTAAAACTGTTGGCGCATGAGCACTTCTTGGAGGGGAACAAAAAGACTGAGGGAAAATCCTACCACAAGTTGGCAACACTGAAAGGATTAATGATTTATGAAGCTCCTACCTTGCCTCAGAGAAACGTAGCTGGGAACCAACGCACACCAACAACTCGTAAACGTCCAGGCGTTTCTTCTTCCTGGGCACACTCATTCTGGTAAATACAATGAGATGACAGACGCCACAGACTTCAGCATGGGTCTGTGTTCAAAACCGAGCACGACTCTGTGAACCGAAACTCCCAAGCCTGATCTTTTTTTAAGTAGGGTCTTTGGTTCCTCAGAATCTGCGTAGTGCTTTAGCTTCCTCTTAATTTTTAACTCTTGGTGTTCATTCTGGCTTTTTATTGCAAAATAGACTGGGAGAGGTCAGAGGTTAGAGATGGAAACTGCGTTTGGACTGTCAGTAAATGCTGCTTCACGTTCCCTGGAAGTCTTCCAAAGGCCGTGTTCCCAGAGCACAGTGCACTTTGCTGATGGAGAGTGTTTAAGATCCAGGGTGCCTATCTGTGCGTAGGGCGGGTGCTGACAAAGACGGAATCGAAGAAACTGAGGAGGAAGCAAAGAAGGGACATGGATAGGAAGGAAGGAAGGAAGGAAGGAAGGAAGGAAGGAAGGAAGGAAGAAGGGAGAGGAATGAAGAGCAGGGAGAGGAAGGAACAAAGGAAGGGAGGGAGAGAGGGAGGAAGGAAGGGAGGGAGGGTGGATGGAGGAAAGGGGAGGGAGGGAGGAACAAAGGGAGGAAGAGAGAGAGGGGAGCAAGGAGAGGAGGGAGGAGGCTTGGAAGAAGGGATACCAAACATGCTTCGGTCTCTGATTGATGTGACTGCCGCTGCATAGAAGGAGAGAGAATTCTAAGAAAACACCTTTGTTTCTGTAATTAACGCTTAGAATGACATGAGGGCAGCCCCTCTGGGACACTGAGTTAAAATGCAACCTGATGCATTTCCTATTCTCAATAATTCTTTTTATCCCAAGATTCCCTCCTGAACATGACCATGACAAAGAAGTCTCCTGATTGTAAGGACTGTCCCATGATTTAGAGAGAGAGAGAGAGAGAGAGAGAGAGAGAGAGAGAGAAACTGATTCTTCTCTATCAAGCCATAGAGTACAGAGCCAAGTGGTCAATACCTAAGCATTTGTCTCCACCTAAAGGGAGAAAAAAAATTGACAAGCAGGCAAAAGAGGGGACTAGAAGGCAGGTTATCAGAAGTAGAGTCCGAAAAAGAGCTCCATTCCCTGACTCACCCTCTAACAAAAGCAGTGTGCCACCAATGTGCTGGGTATACTTTTTATCTTATATTTGCATTAACTGATGTTCAAAAAGGTTTGGCAGTTTGCTCAGGGTCGCTCAGCCTCAACTGTGATTCCAGAGAGGACTATCTGATTCCAAAGCCTGTGCCCTGGACCTATGCAAATGGCTTTTCAAGAGGGCTTCACTCCATGGTGGATCTTAGGTGTGCAGCCAGCTAGGGACTGGATGCAGCCGAGAAAGTCTGTAGAGCAGAGGAAGTAATTTCTGAAGTGAGCAGATAAACCAAGTGATAAAAAAGACCCTTTGTGAGAGGCAATTGAAATCAAACATAACAAAAATACTAAAAATGTCACTCTGAGAACTTTAATGACTGTGATACAGCAACGGAGTCTACGAGATTTGTTCTAAAGTTGGAAGGTAGGGAGGAAGACCATGGAATTTTATCCAATTGACAGTTGTCATGCACTGACTATATGTCAGCCCTATGCTACAAAATACAGTGCCCCAAAAGTATAGAAAGTTGGACTGGGCCAGGCATTTTGCCTAGTGATTAAGATACCAGGAAAGATGCCTACAGCCCACAGGGGAGCACCTGGGTTAGATACCTTGCTCTGACCCCTGGTTCTAGCCGATTTTGAGAGGCAGTAGTGATGGGGCTCAAGTAATTGGGAGATCTAGATTATGTTCAAGGCTTCCCGCTTCAGCCTGGGCATTTAGAGAGTGAACAAGCTGATGGGAGCTCTCACTTTCTATCTAACTCATTCTCACTCTGCCTCTCAAAAATTAAATTAATGAATTTAGAAAGCAAACTGTACTGAAATTTAGCAATAGGAGAAAGGCAAAAGTAGACAGAAAACTACAGGCAAACTATGAACAAAGTAGGTGGAGAAATAATATGTACTTGATTAGGAAGAAGGAGGTGGCTCAAGCCAAAGGGAGAGGAGTAAAAGGGCAAAGTGCATCAGGCAGAACGTACTGTCATGGACAGGGATTTGCCATTATGAATTTGCCTGGCATCCAGGGCAGAACGTCTGGTCATTTGAATGGGACAGAAACATTCCCTCAGCTTGGCGCCACAATCTCATCTGACCACAAGATGTAAATTTCCTGTCTAAAAGTTCTATTGGAAATTTGAGTCAGAAAGACAGTGCTTCTGGAGCCCTGTGGTCTGCCAGGTGCGGGGGGAAGACTCCCCGGAAGGAGGAAGAATGTCAGCTTCCCTGACGTCAAAACAGCAAGGGGGGAATTTCTCATGTGCTGCTGAAGCAGGTCAAAGCTGGAAATGATGGGCTGGGCTGCGTGGTTTCATGTCGCGAGTGGTGATCTTCACTGTTGCCTGCCTTCTTCCCAAGGGCTCCAACTTCCTGCTGAATGAACCTACATATAGGGATCTTCCAGACCATGCTCTTTGTCTTCTGATACCTGTGCCCAAGCTGCTCCCTGGTTTGCAAACTCTCTCCATCCTCTATCCTGTTTTTCTGACCACCTGGTCATGTTGCAAGACTCAACTCAAATATCTTCTGTTCCATGCAGCCTTTGCTGACACACCCTGCCCCGGCTGAGTTAGGGGCACCCTGTTTTTGTTCTCATGACCTCTTATAGCTGCACTGAAGAAACTATCTGTGATTATAATTGGTTTAAATGTCTGACATCTCTGTTGGCTTACAAGTGACAAAAAGAAGCCTTCTCCCCTACATTATTATATCTCCAACTATCTGAGTGCTTTTGCATATTTATGTATTCACTGTGTTAATAACATGGAGTAAAGGGAGGATGGGATGCAGGTTTTGGAATTCAAAAACCTGGATATGAACCAAGGCTCTGCCACTTTAGCTGTGTGTTTAATTTCGCGATATTAGGTCCTCCTATTTGAACTAGGAGTAATTCTGTCTACTTTGCAATGAAGACTAAATGAGACAATGTAAATCTCTGGGGCTGTAGGAGCTTGAAAATGATTATTATGGTTCAACTAATTAAATGATGAAAACGATTCTTAACATGGGCATCTGATGGTCATGATAATGTCTGAAGTATTAATTTTTTAATTGTTCAGCCACGAGGAGGGGTGGAAGAAGGTCCTACAGTATTGAGAAAGGCTGGTCTGCTTGAGAAACTTAAAGAACAAGGTAATTTTAAAAATATATTTTATCATTTTATTTATGTATTTATTTGAAAAGGCAAAACAGTGCAAGAGAGAGAGATATCTTCCATCCATTGGTTCATTCCCCAAATTCCTGCAACAGCCAGGATTGAACCAGGCCAAAGTCAGGAGCCACGAAACCAATCGAGGTCTCCCACATGTGTATCAAGGACCCAAGCACTTGAGGTCTCATCTACTGTCTCCCAGAATGTGCACTATCTGGAAGCAAAAATATGGTAATTCTCAAGTTGAAAGATGATCAGCTTGATTTGTTTCCCACACTGAAGGAAAAATAGGTTGCTACAAAAGTGGGAAGAAGGAAGGGAGGCTGGGAGGGAGGGAGGGATGAGGGATACTCAATAAAGAAGAGAAAACTTGGACAAGCAGGTTTGTCCCTCAGTTAACAAGCTAATTTTGTCAAATATTATAAAGGTGAAATCTCTCGGTGGTGTCACTGGGTCACAGACAGACACAGACATGCAGTAAATACAACACTGGACAGTTGGTTCAGAACACTGAGCTGATCGCCTATCCAAATTTTCCATGAGGTTCTCTACTTTTGAATCTCTTCCAGTCTTTTCCTTTAGGAAGCACATCCAGATCCTTAGAAACTTAGGATTATCTGCTATTTATACTTTTTAAAACGTATAATAATAGGGTTACCTACAACTTTACCTTTTTAAAAATAAAATTGACAAAACCTTTATTTTCTGAGCTCTTTGAAGTATTGGGCTCAGCGCTCAGTACAGATTCTTAATTTTAAGTCTGACACAGCACCGTGAGGCAGGTACAATGGACCGAGGAGGAAGCTGTGTCAGCAGGAGACAGATGGGATAGAAACCAAGGATTGTTAATACAGAGTCAGCAAGTTTAGAAAATCCTGGTGCACTTTCTTCTGGGCATTTATTCATGTAAAATATATAGTTGACTATTACAAAAACAAAGTATGCTTATTACTGAATAGTGAAAAAGCACATAAACAGAGATGGTGATGCCTTCCAGAAAGTTATCCCTGATACATTTTAGTGTCCAGTCTCACTGGATTCATTCAAGAAATAGTTACTGCGAGACAGGCACACAGCAGGCACCCATGTGAGGTCTTGGTGAGAGTATAATGTCAGGCATAGAGACACGATTTGTACCTTCATGATCATCACAGACCTTCCAGACATTTCCTTTGCTTACGCTTTTGAAAATATACTTATTTTGTACTCTTGGAATATTCCTACATGTACTGATTTGCAATCTTTTTTACTTAGTAACTTGACACTTTTAATTTTAGAGCATGACGTGACAGACTATGGAGACCTGTCCTTTGCTGATGTCCCTAATGACAGCCCCTTTCATATTGTGAAGAACCCACGGGCGGTGGGAAGAGCCAACGAGCAGCTGGCTGGTGCAGTGGCAGAAATCAAGAAGAACGGGAGGATCAGCCTGGTGCTGGGCGGGGACCACAGGTCTTGTGCAGTGACTGTGTGTGGGCATCTGGTACTGATAGAAAGGAAGTATACCCAAGACAGCCAGAGAAGAAATGTAGACAGGATAGCCCTGACCGATTTTATGCCACATTTTCTACCTCAAAAAATATTGTATTGGTTACTACTTTACTCCAGAAATATAGACTTTGCTCTATTTGAAGTCTTATAATATCTTTATTTTTATCTATCACAGCAGAGAATGAGATATGGAGGTATTTCAAGAAAACATTCAGTGTAATCTAAATAAATCAACACTGAGGAAATTCATAGTCAGCTTATTGGACACAACTTCGTTTAGGGAAACAATGTCAAAGCCTGTGTTTTCCATTATAAAAGTTAAACTGCTTTATAAAAAGTTTGAAAGCACACACACACATTTAAAAATTCAGGGGTAACTGTATTTTCCTAACAACTATTTGCAAGCAGAATTTAAAATCTGGTACATTTCCTTCGTGATGTCTTTTTTCCTTGTACTTGGTGATTTTGTTTAACAATTGCATGCATGTAAGTCTCTGATACCCTATATTTTGTTCTTAATCTTCAGTACAAATTTCCTTTTTTTATTCTATTCCCATAAGAATCATTTTTTTTACTGCTGGATAATTTTTCTTCAAGGGATTATATCACTCTTTATCCATATCATCAGATACTCTGATAATGAAGATAATTGTTGTGCACGAGCCTTTTTTTTTTTTTTTTTTGACAGGCAGAGTGGACAGTTAGAGAGACAGAGAAAGGTCTGAACGATGCTTAACCACTCCCAGGTGGGAGAATGTGTACAGGCTTTGGGTTCTAAATTCTCACCTTTCGCTTCTGGAGTTTGGGGGTTTTGGGACCCACGCTGGTGGGTCCTGGTTAAGAGGGATTGTTAAAATGTGGCAGCAGGGCAGAAAGCTAAAGCGGGGGATATGAGCATGGAGAAGAGGGAACAAGCACCCAGGGTATACTGCAGAAGGGAACGTACGGATGGACGGACGGCCCTGGACTTCAGGGGAGTGGAATTTTTCTTTATTTTTATTTTTATTTATTTATTTTTTGGACAGGCAGAGTGGACAGTGAGAGAGAGAGAGAGAGACAGAGAGAAAGGTCTTCCTTTACCATTGGTTCACCCCCCAATGGCCACTGCGGCTGGTGCGCTGCGGCCAGTGTACCGTGCTGATCCGAAGCCAGGAGCCAGGTGCTTCTCCTGGTCTCCCATGCAGGTGCAGGGCCCAAGCACTTGGGCCATCCTCCACTGCACTCCCGGACCACAGCAGAGAGCTGGCCTGGAAGAGGGGCAACGGGGACAGAATCCAGCGCCCTGACTGAGACTAGAACGCGGGGTGCCGGCGCCGCAGGTGGAGGATTAGCCTATTGAGCCACGGCGCTGGCCAGGGGAGCGGAATTTTAAGAAAAGCGGGAGGACTTGGTTATAATTCACTTTTTTTTTTTTTTTTTTGACAGGCAAAGTGGACAGTGAGAGAGAGAGAGACAGGCCTGGTTATAATTCACTTGTAAGAATTGTGTTTTGGCTGGCACCGCGGCTCAATAGGCTAATCCTCCACCTAGCGGCGCTGGCACACCGGGTTCTAGTCCTGGCCAGGGCGCCGGATTCTGTCCCGGTTGCCCTTCTTCCAGGCCAGCTCTCTGCTGTGGCCAGGGAGTGCAGTGGAGGATGGCCCAAGTGCTTGGGCCCTGCACCCCATGGGAAACCAGGAGAAGCACCTGGCTCCCGCCTTCGGATCAGCGCAGTGTGCTGGCCGCAGTGCGCTGGCTGTGGCGGCCATTGGAGGGTGAACCACCGGCAAAGGAAGACCTTTCTCTCTGTCTCTCTCACTGTCCACTCTGCCTGTCAAAAAAAAAAAAAAAAAGAATTGTGTTTTTACTGAGAGAGACCAGTATGCAGATAGCCCAATTTAGCCCTGAGAACTGAACAGTGTGTCCTGTGAAAGAATTTCTCCTATGGACAACCTTCTAATACACGTTTATTTTTTGATTAATTTGTGATTTTCTTACAAGGTGGATTTTGGAAAAATAGCACCACAAAATTTTGTAATGCTAGTGATGTAAATATAACTTGTTAGGAAGCATTAAGTGGAAGTTACACTTTATTACTTATTACTGTACTTGTTTAATTGGAATCTCTGATTATCAGAAATATCAGTCAGTTAGCCTTAAAGAAAAACCAAATGATAGCTTTAAGGAAGTCAGTGATAAGATGTATGTAACAGCATTGCAAATCTGATGTTCACACCAATGTTTTTCCTCTAAAGCTTGGCGATTGGAAGCATCTCTGGCCATGCCAGTGTCTGCCCCGACCTGGCTGTCATTTGGGTGGATGCTCATACTGATATCAACACTCCACTGACAACCACAAGTGGGAACTTGCATGGACAACCTGTGTCTTTCCTCCTGAAGGAACTGAAAGGAAAGGTAAAGGCCAGTTGGTAGACTGTTACCAAGGAATATTATTGCGACATTCAAAAGGTGAAAAGGAAGTGAGAAGCCTTATGCCACCTCAATTTTTTACATAGATTTCATATTTATTTTTAAGATTTATGTATTTGAAAGGCAGAGTTATAGAGAGGCAGAGAGAGAGAGAGAGAGTCTTCCATCTGCTGGTTCACTCCTGAGATGGCCACAATGGTCGGAGCTGCACCAATCCGAAGCCAGGAGCCAGGAGCTTCCTCCAGGTCTCTCATGCAGGTGCAGGGGCCCAAGAACTTGGGCCATCTTCTACTGCTTTCCCAGGCCATAGCTGGGAGCTGGATCCCAGAAGTGGAGCAGCAGGGACAAGTGGAGCAGAGGACTTGAACCGGCACCCATATGGGATGCTGGCACTGCAGGCAGTGGTTTTACCCGCTAAGCCATAGTACCGGCCCCTTGTTTTTATTTATTTGAGAGGCACATGCATACACACACACACACACACACACACACAGAGAGAGAGAGAGAGAGAGAGAGAGAGAGAGAGAGAGAGAGAATGCTCCCATGTACTTGGTCACTGCAGAAATACCCACAATGACTCCTGGCTTAGAATTGTGAACTCAATCCAGGTATACTACATGGGTGGCAGGAAACCAATCACTTGAACCATCAAGTGATTGTCTTGCCCCCCAGGATCTGTATTAACAGGAACCACAGCTGGGCAGGAAACTCAGGCACTCTGGATGTGGGGTGCAGGTGTCTTGTCTGATAGGCCAAACACTCTCCCCTATCTTATTTTTGTTGTAATTTCTAACCATTATTCTGTAGCTAGTAACTAAAGGATTGGTTCATAAAAGTATCAAGGCTCTCTACCTTACTTAACAGTTATGAAACTGACTTCAGATATGAGTACTGTCATTCCTCTGCATCTGCCAGGAACTGGTGCCAGGACCCCTATGAATCCCATGAAGATGCTCAAGTCCCTTAGATAAAATGGCACAGTATTTGCATGTAACCCATGCATATCCTCCTATATACTTTACATAATCTCTAGATTACTTGTAATACCTAATACAAAAGAAACATAGCTGTCATACTGTGTTATTTAGGGAATAATGACAAGAAAAATCTACCATCTTAGGTCCAACTACATTTTAATCAGTGATTGGCCGAATCCAAGGATGCAGAGGACTGACTGTATATTGTGTGTGTGTGTGTGTGTGTGTGTGTGTGTTTTTACAGGCAGAGTTAGACAGAGAGAGACAGACAGAAAGGTCTTCCTTTTTCTTTGGTTCACTCCCCAAATGGCCGCTATGGCCAGTGTGCTGCAGCCAGCAGGCTGTGCGGCCCAAGCACTTGGGCCATCCTCCACTGCACTCCCTGGCCACAGCAGAGAGCTGGCCTGGAAGAGGAGCAACCGGGACAGAATCTGGTGCCCCAACCAGGACTAGAACCTGGGGTACCGGCGCCGCAGGCGAAGGATTAGCCAAGTGAGCCGTGGCACCAGCCTGTGTGTGTATTCTTAAACTACTCTTTTTAGTAGACAGAACAGAAAATAATCCTTTATGAACAAGTTAGTAGAGGTTCAGAATCTCACCAGCTTGCCAAGAGCATGTGCAAAGCACACAGTGAGGCAAGGGTTGAACCAAGTCTACTAGCTCCTACCTTTTACTATTATATCCACAAGGCCGTTTATCTCACTAAGCATCCCCTTACAATATAGAACCTTTTGAAAAGTGGAAGTTTTAAAGTAGATTACAATGGTTTATTATTTAAAATCATAAGAAGAACCATCTCCTTGCTCTCTAAAAACTTTTCTTCTAAAAGATATGAAACAAAATTTTAGAGTAAGATGTACCACTGTGGCTCATAATTCCTATTGGAATGCTAGTTTATCAGTAAAACCAATTTTTATCACTATAATTGTAATACGGTATTGATCTGATATTACAAAAGCGATTCACATCTGTTTTTAAATACTGAGAAGTAACATGGTTTTGAAGTGATAACCAAGTCAGGGGTCTATAAATTTACATAATGTTGAGCAAGCACACAGGAAGAACTCAGCTTGGCTCCAGGACAAAGCAGATGCCATCACATTATGATTTGAAGGGCAATCAAAGATCTGGTCAAACATTCATTCCCTCAGCCATGCTAGGTCACCCTGGGGTTTGAGTCCCCACTGAGAAAGAAGAGTAAAGAAGGAAGCTACCAAAGCAATGGATTTACATTCATTTGACATGGGACATGGGGCCTCCAGTTACCATTAGGTCTGGGGGCCATGGGGTGAAGTTGCTAAGGCTAAAGCAATCAAGGATACCACAACAGGATGAGGGCACACTCTTAACTTTATTTTTTATGTGATTTCCTCTTAATTTACACTCTATTATATGCAATTTAACAACTGTCATTAACTTAGAAAATGTAGGATTTGCTCAAGAGAATCACCATTAACCCAATGGAAAATTGTCATTTTAGATCCCTGATGTACCAGGATTCTCCTGGGTGACTCCCTGCATATCTGCCAAGGATATTGTCTATATTGGCTTGAGAGATGTAGACCCTGGGGAACAGTAAGTTTATTCTTTGCTGTGATGTACACTCACTGTTATCCTTTTGTGTGCAAAGTGTGCTTTACTGGCTAAATCTATACCTGTACATTCTTATGTATGTACTCAATTTATATCTTAATTGACTTGATGTTAAAAATACAAACACAATTATGTATTTCACAGAACCCAACTATTTAACATAAATTAGCACACTGATCTTTTAAACATGAAACGGGACGACACAGTCAGCCTTATTAATTATAATTATCTTAACGTCTCTTCTTTTACAGCTACATTGTGAAAACTCTGGGTATTAAATACTTTTCAATGACTGAAGTGGACAAACTGGGAATTGGCAAGGTGATGGAAGAAACGTTGTGCTATCTACTAGGAAGGTATGACACTCCTGGGTGTGTGCACGTGAGTGTAACATAGGGCTTGCCACTGACACTAATCAGTTTAAATTGTTGATGAAGTCTGTCAATAAAATCATGGAACTTCACTTGGTCATTATTGTTTATAAAGCAGGATGAGCATTATACATGTTTAATAAATATTATGCTGAAGTCTTTTAATATTTTTTAAAAGAAAGAAAAGGCCAATTCATCTGAGTTTTGATGTTGATGGACTAGACCCATCTTTCACACCAGCTACTGGCACACCAGTTGCGGGAGGTCTGTCTTACAGAGAAGGCATCTACATCACAGAAGCAATTCATAAGACAGGTAGGTAAAAATCTTAAGGAATAAAGAAGCAAGTATATCTAGACTAATGTCTATTAGTATCTCCCTGATCTGAAAACCAAGCTCCAAATGACACTTAGAGAATATCTATCACATTATGTATTAATTGTTTTTCATTGGTCACCTCCTTGCATAGTCTTTCAAGTCAGCCTGTACTGATTTTAAAATGTCAATTATTTGATAAATACATTATTGCCATTTGTTGTTGTAGGACTACTCTCAGGATTAGATATAATGGAAGTAAACCCATCTCTGGGGAAAACACCAGAAGAAGTAACTCGAACGGTGAACACAGCAGTAGCACTAACCTTGGCTTCTTTTGGAGTTGCTCGGGAGGGCAATCACAAGCCAATTGACTACCTTCACCCACCTAAATAAATATGGAGCATTATCTAAAAATTTCACAGCTAATGCTGTAATTAGCAAATCTATAACTTACTTAAGCTTACAGTTATCTGCCCAAAGACTTGTTCTTCCAGAAAAATGTTTTTCCAATTAGTATAAACTCTACCAATTCCCTCTTGTTGCAAAACTCAAACTCAAGAATTGGAAATTAAAACTTCTGTGAAATTGGCCGGCGCCGCGGCTCACTAGGCTAATCCTCCGCCTAGCGGCGCCGGCACACCAGGTTCTAGTCCCGGTTGGGGCACCGGATTCTGTCCCGGTTGCCCCTCTTCCAGGCCAGCTCTCTGCTGTGGCCAGGGAGTGCAGTTATAGATGGCCCAGTTGCTTGGGCCCTGCACCCCATGGGAGACCAGGAAAAGCACCTGGCTCCTGGCTCCTGCCATCGGATCAGCGCGGTGCGCCAGCCGCAGCGCACCGGCCGCGGCGGCCATTGGAAGGTGAACCAACGGCAAAGGAAGACCTTTCTCTCTGTCTCTCTCTCACTGTCCACTCTGCCTGTCAAAAAATAAAATAATAAAATAAAATAAAGGCAAATGAGAAGTAAAAAAAAAAAAAAAAAAAAAAAACTTCTGTGAAATTGGAAAAGATTTTCTCATTAAAAAAAGACATATACTTAGAAGCAGCACACATTGACTCCCAATTAAAAATGTGCTGGTGTGCAAATATTCACCCATTATAATCCCCCAAACATAGAGTAGACTCCTGATATCAGAAAACAAAGTTACCTCATCTGGAAAGACAGTACATGTCCATGTTATCTGAAATATGTGATTCCTTTTGTAATAAACTCTTTATAAAGAAAATGTATTGTCTCTATCTAAATACACACAGTATTCAATCCCCACCACATGCATATTTAACATACATCCTGCTTAAAAGCACTATGAAGATATATAAGCATCCTCAAGACCGAAGACTTGGTGAAGCTACTTAAATATTCTGGATCTGTTTTTTTCATGTATAAAGGGAGTAATCACAAACTTGGACAATCTTCATGTTCATAATATGAAAAGAGCATGTTTCGGCCGGCGCCGCGGCTTACTAGGCTAATCCTCCACCTGCGGTGCTGGCACCCTGGGTTCTAGTCCCGGTTGTTCTTCTTCCAGTCCAGCTCTCTGCTGTGGCCCGGGAGTGCAGAGGAGGATGGCCCAAGTGCTTGAGCACCGGCTCCTGGCTTCAGATTGGTGCAGCAAGAGCCGTAGCGGCCACCTGGGGGGTAAACCAATGGAAGGAAGACCTTTCTCTCTGTCTCTCTCTTTCTCACTGTCTTAACTCTGCCTGTCAAAAAAAGAAAAAAAAAAAAAAAGAAAATAGCATGTTTTACTTCCACACTTCAAACATGGTATTTTTGGATATTTTAAGCATGGTTGTTATTCAGGTAGCTTTTTTGGAAGTGTAAAATATTACAGAACTGTCTCCGGGGCCAAGGAAATTAAACTGTGATTTTGTTTCCAACATCTGTGATGTGCATTTGAAACTTCCCACCCTTCACACGTTGAAATTACAGTTATGTTTCAGTTAAAAACTGTAAGCAACCAAACAACTTATCTTGGCTCTGGGATCGTAAGGAGAATGGGAAGAAAATGAGAATATAATCGAAACAAGGGAAGCAAACTCGTCCCCAATCCCCATCTATGTAAGAACTTAAAGGGACTGTGTAATACTGTAGGTACTCTGAGAGGATTTTTTATGGTGCTCCTTTCAAAAATTCAGTTCCAAATTCCAAACGCTCAAGTGGTATGCAGCTAGGAACTACTCTATCAGTAGCGTAGGTGTAGACCATTTCCATTTCTGCAAAAAGTCCTAGTGAACAGAGCTGCTCTAAAGTTACTATTAATTGTCAAAAAGAAAAACTTTCAGGATTTAATGAATATGAAAGCATTTTTATTCCCTCAGCTATATCCTAAACCCAAAGAAAGTTTCTGACTTCTAGTAATGTCTCTGATAACAACTTTACAGAAAAGTCTGTTCAGTGGAAATAAAGTTCTCATTTTTTGAGTTAAAGAGGAAAAATTAATTTTTAATAAATTAGAATGTTTATATCCTTGAGACAGCGATATTAATTTTGACTTCCTCAATCCCACTTGTATAATACTAGTGCCATGATTATTGCCATTCTAATGGACTCTCAAATCAATATATTCTTCAAGGCAAGAATAAATAGTATGTTGAGACTATATTAAGAGTAGTACCTGAGATCATTTCTAGCCCAAGGTTTCTAGAGAGTTTTAAGAGTCTTATTAGTCTTGGAAAATTATTTATACTACTACTACTACTATATATGTTAAGTTGGACTTACATGGCATATAAAGAGTTACTACTGCAATAACATGAGCTACAAAGAAAAAGGTGTAGGAGGAATGTATTTTGGAAACAAGAATTTGAAGAATAGTTAGTTAAATTCACTAATTCTTTTTTAAAAAAATGAGTAACTCTTAATTCCTAGGCCAACATCAGTCATCAACTTGTAGTGCAGAATGCATGGAGTAGTCTCATACCCTTCTGCAAAACCCAGCCAGCACACTGTATGGTACATAGTAGACACATTCAAACTGAGCTATTGAAGAAGTCTTACAGTTTATTCACCCAACAGATTTCACTAATTAAGCCTTTCACAATGCTGTTTCCAAAAATTAACAATGTCTCCCAAAATCTAATAAAGAATCAAAATGCATAGTATACTTAAAAATATTAAATATTTTTAAATTTTAAGACTGTAAAAGTGCAAAGAATCAAATTATTTGCAGGTGAGACTGTCAACCTTCAAAAGCAACTGATTTATTTTTTAAAACAGAGATCGGAGAATCAATCATTTAAGTATGATTTTATTTAAGCTTATGCGTGGTACTTGTACTTCCTTACTTGACTTCAACTCATTTCATATAGTGAGTGCAAGTGTACAGTGAAGGTAAAAACAGCCAATCCAGCTTGAACAGGAGCATTAGATATTTACTTGGAAATTTACAATAAAATTTCAAGCCATTTTTAAAAGAATATGAAGCCTTGTTTGTTCCTACAGTGCAATGAAATCTAAAACCTACTTCTTGATAAAAAAAATCTGTTATCCCAAAGTTACATCAAAGGAGAATTATTTATAAAAGGATTTATAAAAAGCAACTGTCTGACGTGTGTGGTGCCTTTAAATTATGTTTTGAAGACTGAATACACCACTGATAATAAGAGAAACAAAAGCAACAGCTGGAATAGGGAAGGACCAAGAGTGTCATTGCATCAGTTACCTCTACATTCTTAGGGAGTCCAATTGTTATGGATATGAACAACATGGAGCTTACTTGATCTCTTAGAGACAAAATATAGTTAGGGAGATGGAGATTATAAGGTATTAGGAGATTCACTATTTGAATCAAAATAAAACAATCTGAACGCCATTGCTGCTGCTACTTCGTCAATATAGCATGACTGTGTTCAGATTTAATAGATTTGAGTCCATGTCCAAAGATGGATGTATTTCCATTTCCAGCACAGTGCACTGTAGCTTCACTGCGTTACTGGTAAAGACACTGGAACCTGATTAGACTGAGGTGCCGGAGACCCACTGTTCATGGCTTGTGGAGGCACTGCAGCGGGTTCCATCTTGCTAATGTGTGTGATGAAGCGAAGACGAAGTTTTAAGGCTGGTTTTAAATTACAGATAATCTTCTCTACCTAAGAAACAAAAACATTAAAAAATGCTTTAATCTCAGAGTGAATTTCCTACCTTTAAAGAGGTGACGTACACACATCCTGAGAGATTAAGCTAGGGAGCAGATAGAATACATGAAGATTTTCTCTATATGTTCTGTTTTAACAAAAGCAATCATTATCAAACAATTACTTCTTTCTCACATGAGACAGAATACATGATCTCCCTCACACATGTTACATATTACATGTAGTTATGTGCATACATTTACAAAAAGATATACACTTACCTAGCTAATCAGTCATCCTACTACCAACGGCTAGTATAGGTTACGCTGGAAATTCTATACATCCAAAAAGTTGACCAACCCTTTAAAATGCTATCTTCAAAGAAGCATAATTACAAAGTTCATTGAATAACTCTTATCTGTGACAGTAACCTACAAAGCTAATTTTTTTTGGTGATTCACACTTGGAATTCAAACTATAGAATACTAGGTCTACTCTTCGTTAAAATATTTCAGGGAGATAAATAAATCAAGTAGTTTCAAAGCTTTCTCAGCTTCATTTAAATGCTCTCTGACCTAATCAGAAAGATCAGTCCATTAAAATTGTTCCTTTTTATTTTGGCTTAAAGTTTCTTTGACCCAAATATAAAGATATATTTTTAAATAAACACTTATCACTTTTCTATATGTTCTGTGTTTTAATAAAAGCAGAAACGATTATTTCTTTCTTGTATAAGTGAGAACCCGTCAACCCATCTTTGACCTTCATGCTGAGACACAGAAGAATGCATATGTCCTCCCATCCCCAACTCCATGGAAATAACTCACTGAATTGGATTCCTATCATTCTACAGCAATTTGCATTCCTTTCTGCTATAGAAAGAAAACTAAAATACTGGGAAAGAACAGCAGACTTCACCTATCTGCCCTGTCTCCACCACTCTAAAATAGTACAGATTGTGCTTCCCACACACGGGGATTCAAGGAGGTCTTTTCCATTTTCAGATACCTCTACCAGGAACTGCATCTTCATATACTGAGTCAGAGTATGTTTCCCTTAACTTCCCCAGAATCCACAATCCTCTGAAGTCACACAAAGCCAATCTAATTCCTATACTGAATAAGGAGGATGTGAACAATTGTTGAGGACTTTTTCTTCAGGCTATGCATTCCAATATTCATCAAATACTCTCTTGACTATCCTAGCTTCAATTGTCTGTCATGCTACAATGTGCACAATGTTCTCATAGTGTATCCTAATAAGTGTAGGGAAAAGTGGGACCTCTTTCACTCATAACACAACACCTGTCTGGTCTGGTATTTTCAGTAGCCAATGCACATTGTTTCTCCCTAATGAAATTACTGGTAATCAACCCCCTCTATTTTTCCCTCCAATGCTCTGTATAATACAAAGAGGAAAGAATATGTTCCTAACTTAAAAAGCATGATATCAACTCTTCCCATTAAAAACAAAAAATGTAACAACAAAAATACTCACCCCCCCATAAAAAGTCTATGACTGTATATCCCATTAACAAATAATTAAGTAAACCACTTACTTGCTCTTTGACGCTGTCACCAGTAAACATATACTTCATATGATACAGGAAGTCACAGATGGGATCCATGTAATTTAAATGGGTACTACACTGGTCTACATTTAGCAGCATGTCATAAAATGCCACTCCAATCTATTTAATAAATAATAGAGAATTATTTAAATAATTGGAAGCAGTTAAATAATTACTATAGAATTATCTAAATGATACAGAATTATTTAAATGATAAGAAGTACTTAAATAATTCAGCATGGTACAGTTGGACTCCATCACAACACCAGTTCTGGGGGACAGCACACTTGCCATGGGAACAGTCACCCATCAACACACCTTTAGAACACGAGAGCTATGATACAGCCACATTTATAATGAAATCCATAGTGCTACAAAGTGTACTTACACAAAACTTCTCTTTTTAATTGAGAAATTTCTCTTCAAATTAAGAGATAGACAATCCTCCTTCTAGACACCACCTCTCAATTTCTGGGATGACTGCCCTCTGGGGAATTCTTGGTTCCATTAAGGTAATATGTGTCTAAAGTTCTAATCCTGGCTATTCTTTTTCTCTAAAACTTGTTAGAAGATACTGATTTC